TATCAGCTTCCCCGGACGACAAAGAGGGCGAAGTCAGTGCTACATTGAGCATCATCATTGGTTCCCAGCACGTTGCATTGATGCCAGTATGAGCTGGACACTGGCGCCAATGTGCTGCCTTCCGATTCATACAGTAGCTGCTGTTTGTTGTCCCCAGAAGACTCCCCAACATGCACATTCGCACTGATATCTAACTGAATTCTTGTATAGTGTCATCAACGCGATGTCTTCTCAACTCCTTGAAAATGGGAAAGATGGAGCCAATAATCCGCGAGAATTTGGACCTAAACTTTGCGACTACTGCAGAGAAGCCTTTTCTTCTTTAGTATTCCTCCCTCGTGAAGACTAAAATTCGATACTATATAAGCCTTATATATTCGTCAATTATCAAGAACATGGACTGGTGCCGCGACAAATCCGCTGTGACCATAACCAACTACTTTGGGAGTTGCTATCAAAACGTATCGTGCGAAGCCTCCCCACACGAGTCAAAGCACGCCATTATGCACCCCAACGTATTGGTTGGCCCCTTGGTTTTCGTTCTCTCTGCCAAGGATAAAGCAGCTTGCTATTCGATTGGAAGACTTGGGACGAGCAAGGCATGCCATAAATGCCGGCAGCCCTCCATCCATGAGCCACGAAATAGTTTATGCGGATTTGCTACCAACCAGACCAAACGCTTTGCGTTATACATACAGCGGAGCTAGGACAATACTCAATGTTACCAAGGGTGTTCGAAAGCCCGTTGCCGAGGTGCCCGACAATGGGAACCATGATATTACTAGTCTTACTTGGTCATCTGGGCTGGTATTGTTGAGACTTACTCAGCCTGTTAGTTAACGTACAAGACAGACAGATTAGTGACAATCTCTGGAGTCGCCAATCTCATCCAGAACGTTTTCGAAGATACTGACATTTATGTGGCTGGCCTGTGGTTATTTATGCTGCCCTATCAGCTTCGCTGGCACGTTAGCATGCGTTCTACGATATCGCTCCCTCGTGGAGCTGGGGCCCGCTAACAGTAGTGATCAGACTCCCTGCCACACGATCGGATGGCGATCAGTCTCTGATCCACACTATTGAAGTCCATGATACTCACTCTGTTACCGGCCACATCGAGCAATGTAAGTTTTGGAGCTTACTTAAACTTTCGCTGTCTTATTTACAAAGTTGGTGCCCGCAAGGATAAGCATATAACTACCGTGAGTCTCTGCAAGCGAGGAGACGATACATACCCCATACCGCCAGAAACTTCACAGATTCTGTCCTATAATATTTGGGCTGAGGTACCACATAAACATTTTTGAAGCTGAATCTCTGGTAGAACATGCGTACCTGAGCCCTGTTATATTAGGACAGCATTTTCTCATAGAGAGAGTAGATGGTCTCATAGTGATTGCTTGCTAAGAGAGGCCTGGATTCTTCCAGCACATTGGTATCTGGTATCTGGTATCTGTACGAAGAACGTGGAATAAGTGATCGGGTCAGCTTCATTCAACATTTAAACTCGACTACAGACGACTATCAGTGTAAAACAAGACTCTTATGATTCTATGCAGTGGTATATCGTGCAGACAACCATCCTGATATAACATTCGTCAGTAAACGGGGCATCCCCTTGATAACATAAATGCAAATGACGGAGGGCTTGTAAGGACCCCCTACTCCCAAGGGGGAAAGGGGAGATAGGGGAAGGGGATTAGTTAAAAGAGCATCTTGAGTCGTGGTCACACATGTTACCTGAACGTATGAGGCGTATATGATAGTTTATATTCCAACCTATACCTTGAATTCTCGGTGTCATACGCAGAATAGGACCGGCGGGTTGTAAACAAAAGTTGACCAATTAATCAATTCCTAGAAGAGCGGGCGCTAGTCTCTGTCCTTTTCTCTTTCCTTTTTTTTATTCAGGTTTGAAGAAAAAAAAAAGGGAAGGGGATAAAATGTAGATTGAGCTATAAATTTACAACACACTCACTCCTTCGCTACACAACAGAGCCTCACAGTCGGTTTTAAAGCAGGGGCCAGATAAAGCAAACGACTAAATGCCACGATTACCTACCTATCTCTAAATCACGGGTGAAGCCGTAAAGTTGTTACTTGAAGAGCTAGGTCAAACTAAGGGCACACTTCAAGGATGATCATTTATTTACACATTTTAGACTATTGGATGAGATAGTCTGGATAGATATAGCTATTACGGAGTGGGGTAACCCTATCCCTTTAGCCCCCTTTCGAATTATATATAAATCGAGGGAAATACGCATGCTGAGCCGTCATCATGATTAACTACTAGACCTCAGAGTGAGTAGTAGACATGGATTTATTGATGGGATTACCATCATATTAGATTAATACCGTACGTGTAGAGAGCGCAAGCTAGGAGTGCAGTAGAATTTGGCATTGCTTCTCAATAAAAAAATGCCACAGGTCTATTTCGCCAGAGTGCCCCATGACTCCAAAGCCAATATTTGCGTAGTATCCATACGATTTAAGTTCATATCGTGTGATCTCATACCCTTCCTTTTTTTTCTCTTTCTCTCTTCCTTTCCCCCCTTTTTCATTCCACCCCGGCCAAATCATTCGTATTCACATTCACATCTTCTTTTTTCCCGATGTGTTTTGTCCATGCTGTCCATTTCAACATAAAAGTCCAAGTTTGGGGCATGATAAACTCCTTAACCCGTATGGTTTCATCTGCGAATGAGCGAATTGCAGTACTCGTCTCTGGGCTGGTCTAGCAACCCCGTCAATTTAGACTTGGGCGGCAGCTCCCGAAGGGCCCGCCGCACTAGCAGCCGCTTTGACGCTCTCAAATACACCGGAGAGAGTCTTTCCAACCTCCAGCAACGGCTTGCTATCGGTTTTACTGTCAATTCCCTGCTCCTTCGCGCTGACTCTGGTTAACTCCGTCACGAAGCTCTGTCCCCACCAGGCCGAGGTATACTTGAAGACATATCTCTTCAGCTTGCGATAGTTAGCCTCACGCATATCCGCGGGCATAGTAACGGCGTCATGGATAGCGTTGGCTAGCTCTTCCGTGTTCCAGGGGTTTACGATTAGACTGCCGTTTAGGGACTGTGCTGCACCTGTGAATTCGGATAAGATCATGACGCCGTGGCGGTTTTGTTGAGTGGCAATGTACTCATACGACACGAGATTCATGCCATCTCGCGTCGAGCTGACCAAGCAGACATCAGACACGGCGTACAGGGCACAAAGTTCATCGAAGTTGACGCTCTGGTGCAGGAAATGGATAGGCATAAATTCGACGGTGCCGAACTTGCCGTTGATTCTTCCGACGAGCTCGTTGACGACGGCGCGAAGGTTCTGGTATTCCTCTACATCTTGTCTCGAGGGCACCGCTACTTGCACAAGCACAATCTTGCCTATCCACTCTGGATGCTCAGTGAGGAATACCTCGAGCGCGTGAAGCTTCTGCGGTACGCCTTTGATGTAGTCGAGGCGGTCGACACCGACGATAAGCTTGACGCCTTCAAACTTGCGAGTCAAGGTTGCAATGCGCTCCTGAACCTTGGGCTTCTTCAACCCCTCAACGAATTTATCGGGATCTATACCAATCGGGAATGCGCCAACAGTCACGAACTTGCCCTGATATTCTATACCGTTCGGCGTGGTGGGGGTCTCGAGGATGCGGGAGCAGGAGCTCAAGAAGTGTCGGGCGTAGTCGTAGGTATGGAAGCCGATCAGGTCGCACTGCAGCAGACCTTCTAGCAATGCTTCACGCACGGGGAGGATACGGTAGATCTCGCTACTCGGGAATGGGGTATGGAGGAAAAAGCCGATCTTGATGTCCTTCTGGTTTCCTAAAGCGTTGCGCAGCATCTCGGGCAAGAGCATGAGATGGTAATCGTGGACCCAGATCAGATCTCCATCCCGAACATCCTTCACAACCGTCTGGGCGAACAACATGTTGACCTCCTTGTACGCCTCCCAAGCGCCTTCGTCGAACGTGATCTCGCCGGGGTGGTAGTGGAATAGGGGCCAAAGGATGGAATCTGCCGACGAGGAATATCGGTCAGTTAATGATGCAAGCAAAGTGGACAGTGGGGCAGGACGTACTAGAGAAGCCGTTGTAATGTCTGTCGGCCAGCTCGTCGTCAACGAAGATGGGATGTGCGTTATACTGATCTTTGAGCTGTTGTCTGACGGTTGGGATTTCGCCCTCTGGAACCTCCAGGCCAGGCCAGCCATACCACTGGAAGCTAGTTGTCTTGCTCAGGCCGCTCAGGCCGGTGACAAGGCCACCAGAAGACATAGAGAAGCTGTAGTTGCCTTCATCCTGGCGTTTTATGGTGATTGGCAGTCGGTTGGAGATCAGAAGGAGTCTTCTGTCACTGGTGGGGGGAGCTTCGGTCTCGTCGGTTGGCGACATGTTGTTGGTATCCAGCGTAGGAGCGGCAAGTAGCTGTAGAGATTGATGGTTGTTATCGCAGTACGAGCGCGTCTCTTCACAATATCGGGGGCAACGGCTCGACAGCAGCTTGTGCTGGGCTGTGTGATTGTCGTACGATGGAACGGGTCAAGGAATCTGCCGTTCACGGAGGACGGAATCTCTCCTCTCCACAGGTCTTGAGCTTTATTTAGGCTCTATTGTGTTGCGGAGAAATATGCAGCAGATGGGCCAGCAGATGGGCCAGTAGCTTTCGCAACGTCTGGGGAGCGAAGATGTTACGAGAACAGGCGAATGGAGTCGGGCAGAGTTGCTATGAGTGAATATTATTCTGGAGGGGAACTCGAGGTAGCATCAGGTAGTTGGTAAGCGAGGGGAATAGCCGCGGCTGAGAAGGCGTTCGCGTAGGGAAACTGTTTTGGGAGATTTATGGGAGAATGAGTGTACAACGTAAGACGTGACTTTCTGAAGATATGGTCGTTATCGGATTGGGCTGCCACTTGGTTTTTATCAGACGTCATCGATGCAATTAAAAGGTACTGCACCTAATCCTTAGGAAGGTGGGGGAGGAGTCAAAAAAAGATTTTGACAAGAGGGGGATTCGAACCCCCGCCTCTTTCGAGAGTAGAAACACTCCCCGTGCCACGTGAGAGAAGACGACGAAGTCTTGACTATATGGGGTTAGTTAGATTAACTTGAATTAGTAAGGTGAGGTACATACGTCTACCGCCTTAACCGCTCGGCCATCTTGCCTTAATAAAAAAAATTTTCTTGTTAATAATTATTAATCTTTTTTTGATATATTATTATAAATAATTTTTTTATTTATAATATAAAATAATAATAAAATAATTTTATATATAAATAATTTTTAAAAATTAAGTTTTTTATTAATTTATCACTTTTTTTTATTTTATTTTAATAATTTAAATAATTTATATTATTATAAAAATAAAAAGTTTTATAATAATATAAAGAAGTTTAAAATAATGTTTAATTTCTTAATATATTAATAAAAATATTAAAAATAAAGAAAAAGGAAAATTTTAAATAATTATTAAAGTTAATTTAATAATTAAATACATTTTAAACTTTGTTTAAACTTTATTATTTTATTATTAAATTTAACGTTATTAAATTATAATAAAAAGGTTTATAAAATTTATATTATTAAAAACTTATAATTACATTTAATAATTATTTATATATTTTTATTATAATATTATATTAATAAATTTAAATATTTATATAAGTTTTAAGTCACTTTTAAAAGCTTTTATTTAAAAGGTGCATTATTATTAAAATTAATAAGTATATAAAGATTTTTTTAATTCCTCCCCCTCTTTTTTTTTTAAATAAGCTATTAATAAGTACGTACGTAGTGAAAAAGTAATAACTGTAATAAAATAAGAAAGTATGAGGTAAGATGATTGTGACGAACCTCCCTGTGTGTTCCTAGTCAGCTGACTTCACAAGTAAGTACGTACTAGGTTTTCTTGATTTGAAGGTAACAGTGGATTAAGATTGGTTCAAGAGATTCACAATGTCTTGTTCGTCAAAGAGATTTCAAGGTACTCTCACTATAGTATTAAGGAGTGACTATAGTCTTAGATTAATAGCTAAGGGACTAGAATGAATGACTAGATACAAAGGGAATTCCAATCTACTTATACTCATTCCTTATTTCCTATACTTCTTACTTTGGTATGTTGGATACCTGTTGGATCTAACTGGATCTCAGATCACTTCAAATCCAGTTGTTGATACTCTCTCTGGATCTCAGATCCACTGAGATCCTAGTCACGTGATGTTGCATCACATCTTCCCTTTGAGAAGCTTGTTTCGGGGTATTCTTAACCCGTCCCGTCCCCTGGTCCCTTTAGACCAGTTGGTTCGTAACAACGATAATGTATTAAGTTGTTTAAAGAAGGAACTATCTAGCTAAGGGTCACGAGGAAGGAGTGACCCTTTTATATATCGAAGATATATAGGTACAAAGATAGTGTATATTATATAACCATTATAAACAGTTTAATTAATAAAATAAATAAGGATTTTTAAACTAGTTATTTAATTTAAACTTTAAAAAGGTTATTTTTTATTATTTATTAAAACTATATATATTTATATAAAAAGAAAACATAGTTATTTTAATCGATATATATTTTAAAGTTTATAAGTTAAAAGTTAAAAGTTATTAATAAATAAATTGTTATGAACTTAACTTGTTAAAAGGGTTTCTTATAAAGGTGTTAAAACACGGATTATAAAGATGTTAACAAGATGAAAGATTTAAATGTAACATCATATAACATGGATCTTAATAGATAAAGTGATTTAAACATATTTATTTAACAATATAAAATAAATCATTATAAATAAGGTGTTTTAAAGGTATTTAATATATTAAAACGAAAGGAATATATAAAGGGAGAATAAGTATAAAAAAGATGGGATTTCTTATATATTAAGTTATTCATTCTCTAATTATTAATTTAAGACTATAATCACTTTTTAATACTATAGTGAAAATACCTTAAAATCTCTTTGACGAGCTAAGTATTATGAATCTCTTAAACTAACCTCGATCCATTATTACCTTTAAAACAAGAAAACTTAATACGTACTTACTTGTAAAATCAATTAATTAGGAACACATAAAGAGGTTCGTCACATAAATATAAAAATATTAACTTTTTAAAAATAATATTAATACTTTTAAAACACTTATTTAATATAAATATTTATTAAATACTTAATAAAATGATTTTAAAAACTTTATATTTAAAAAAGTAAAAAGTAAATAATATAAATTAATTTATATATATATATATGATTTAGTTTTTATAAACGACACCGAAATTTAATTAATTAGTCTTTAAGACTTTAAAATCAAATTCTTTCTATTTTATAACCGGCTGTTTTGCTATGTGGATACCCCTTACATGTGAGTGAAAGATATGTTTGCAAGGTAAAAACTTGTTATAAGTATACACACATAGCCAATAGCTAAGATGAGACAAGTCACACAACCAAGGTAGTACATGCATGGTATAGCCGCCGATTTTCAGACTTCACACCGATGATGGGTCGTCAGTCTTGAGATAATCATTATAAACTACAGTTCGGGATGCCGTTTTGGTCGCATACATAGATACTTCTAGATCTCGCCAGTTGGTGAAGCATGTCATATATCACCCACAGTAAATATAACGTGACTGGCTTGGTCGTCCTGCTCGGCCTGCAAGATAATCGAAACCCCGCCTGCGAGCTAAAACTTGTTACTGCTGTACACTGCGAAACGGTGCACACCACATTTCCACCACTTAAAGCACACGTCAATTCAGGTACATGTAGATCCGCCATGGAATGGCATCATCTGTCAAACCTAACCTAGTGTACATGTGTTACATACCTAATGTAAGTACCTACCTACATACACGTCGTGAAACATACGTTAGATGAATTGTCCCCCATGTTACATCCGAGGTTGTTACAAACCCACCAACATGTTATCCGTTGTGTCCCTCGAATTGTCACGCCAGTGTCGTCATGAGAATCAGTCCCTCCGTAGGCCCGGATAGCCTATCCATACGGATGACATTACCAAGAGGGCGGATGCGGCAGTGTTCTCTCCTGTCTGCCCGAGGTACCTGTTTATTCATCCGAAAACGCACGAGGCCCGTAGTCTAAGACACATCCACGTGGAAGATGACTCTAGGCTTCGTCATACATATGTATTTCCTACATACATATTCGATACTATTCCATGCCACGCTATCGTTGCATGTACACTGTTATCTAACGCCTCTGGTTTAACCAATCACATCTCCCCGAGTTTGCCCATGTTTGCCCGATTAAGACTGGCCCCACCTGTTTTTTCTCGGGTAACCTATAGTAGGTATCCTGTTCTCGGGGGCATTCCGGACCAAATCCTCCACCGCTCTACCTATCAAGCTTGGGTAGGGAGTATAACTTCAGGCTCATACAGAGAATCCACCATCACATCACGAAACACATATCCATAAGATATCTTAATATATAGGTATACATCTACACACTAATAGATACTCAAGTACATATATACCGGGGTTCAAACCCGGAGTGCTCTCGAAATCTAAAATCACGAGATTTAAAAACGATGCACTATCCCGCCAACGTGGCTGATTGTCTCTCCTGCGGGATCCCGCGCTTAGCTTACAAGCTACGGCCGGTATATTGACACCGGTTTTGCACTAACTTTAGCAAACATATAACTAAAGCTGTCACCTGCTTACAATTGAGCAAGGGAGGTGACCGTTCTGATGTTTCATCTGCCATCGACAAATGGTGCTTCAATCCAACTCACATGCTAACAATCACGACGAGAACACAATTCTCCAGCGCGGCTCACCAGCCATTCTATATGTTATTCGGGAATGCTTTTTAGATCTTATTACGCAGTGTGGTCATCTGCGAGATACATAACCATGATTTAATTTACACATGGCGTACTTCAAAGGGGGCCAAAAGGGAGCCATGCCACTTTGAATGTTACAGCGTCGATTATGAAGTTAAACGACTTAGAAGACACCGTTATTCTTTCTTTGATAAATGATAAGTCGAACCTGTGCTCCTCCCAAAAAACAATCTCCACCGACGTACCTCAATCCGACAGTATGAAATGAATTTTCAACTCGAGGCTATAGATAGTATCTAAGCACCTGATGAATTCCAAGTCCTATAGAGGAACTTATTACTGGCCTATAGTCAGACAGTCGACTTGAATGCACTGATGAATATACACACTTATCAGAAAATTAGCACCTAAGCTCAACTATAGGAACCAACCTTCTCCCCCCGGTCCCGTATTCAAGGGTTTCCGGGCAGGCACAGGGCCGGGGTGCGGGGCCGTACGTGGTGAACAAGCGGAGACCGATCGGTCGCTGGCCGATCTGTGGTTGTCTTACACGTTGAGGACGATGGAAGGAAAAATAGAGGCCGAGTTGCCTGACGCTAATTTAGGCTGGTTTTTTTTTGAAAATTTTTTTTTTGAATGGACATTGTGATGAACGTAGGACGTAGGTATTGAAGAGACATCTGATGATCTAATACGAGTGCTACTTTAACACACTATCCTTGAGGAACAACTTCTGAACCGGGATCATCATGCGTAAGCCGTTAGTTGATACCAAATACTCCTTGTCTTCCAACTTGAGGGAGTCTATGGGGGCTAATAACCGAAAGACATATACAGCTTGAGTTTCCTTCCTCCCATAAGCCCGTACTGTGAACTCAACATATTAGAGACCCACGGCCATAAATTAGCTGACCATGGTCAAATAAGTATTCTAAATCCGGAAGTGCGGGTTTCTGTTAACTCATTCAAATGCGAAATTTCCATAAAACTTCTCGTAATAATATAGACCCTTATGAGCATGTACGGCCTTCTAAGGTTCATTAGGCATCGGAGGACCCAAGCTCACTCTCAGAGAGGTAGTTCACTGGATACTGACTTTTCGCGGAGAATGTATATAAATTCTAATTAACTTCTGAAACGCAGTTAGCGGCGTCGCTTTTGTGGTGTAACTCCTATTAATCAGTAGCTATCTGGACGGCAATGGCTAAGGTAGCTACGTTGAAGGTCCGGATACTGAAGGTGCAATTATCATTCATTACGCAAGATAGTCAGGCCCGAATGCTCTCACATATGCACATCGATAGCTTCGGAAAAGGAGGTCTAGTAATTAATATAATGTCGCCATGCCGCCAGA